TCCAACAACAGCCAACATTATCAATGAGTATTTGCCAACTCTTGTAATAAACTTCTCTGGCCAATGAGGTTTATTACAAAACAACTCACATAAACTTTCTCTCTTACTTTTAAGATTGTTGCCTCTCTGATATGGTTTAGATTTTGTCCCCACCCAAATCTCATGTCGAATTGTCATCCCCAATGTTGGAGGAGGGGCCTGGTGAGAGGTGACTGGATCATGGGGATGGATTTCCTCCTTGTTGTTCTTGTGATGTGAGTGAGTTCTCAGGAAATCTGGCTTTTTAAAAGTGTGTGGCACCTCCACTTCACCTTCTTCCTCCTGCTTCAGCCATATAAGACGTGCCTCCTTACTTTTTGCCTTCTGCCACAATTGTAAGTTTCCTGAGGCCTCCTCCAATCATGTTTCCTGTACAGCCTGTGGAACTATGAGTCCATTTAACCTCTTTTCTTTATAAATTACCCAATCTCAGGTAGTTCTTTATAGTAGTGCCAGAACAAACTAATACACTCCCTCAGCTTCTTTGGTGCCTAAGATCCACCATAGCATGTGTATTTCAAATTGCAATTTATTGCTATTTCCTAAATACACTCTTTATTTTAGAGAGTCAGTATCTCTGCTGTTTAAGTTGACATAATCTGTTATCGGAAGCAAGATGTACAGGTGACAAGCCTTCTTTGGATTGGCGATAGTTGAAATCGTGTATGACCTTCACCTGAGCTCACTATGCTCTCCACTTGTACAAGCTGTTTCTTTGCTGCGAGGAAAGTCTTTTCGTGATTTGAGGTCCCGCCTTCTCAGTGAACTCTTACTTTTTGGGGTATCTGGTTTTCTAAAGGGCATTCTGTCTGATAAGCATTCTTTTGGTTTGATTTTTGGTTTGGTTATTTACGCATGAATTTCATCTCATTAGGAAACAAATTAAGTTTGAAAGACTGACTAGTGAACTAAATCAGTCTTCAAAGTTTTTGGCATTTACCTTTATTTTGAAACTCTTTGTAAGAAGTGTAAACCTGTAATGATAATTTCTGCTTTGTAAGGATATCTCCCTTTCTGATTTCTAAAATGTCAGATGCTTCCACAAAGCAAAAGGCAGAGACCTGGGTCTATCTACCTATTGTAAACTCACTCTTGACCATTTCATTTTAAATGCTTCCTATGTATGCCTTTTCTTTTTTATTTCAACAAATAATGATGCTTCTGTTCTGTGACATTGAGATTTAAATTTTCTACATTCCTTTACCTAAAAGTCATCTCTTTGGAAGTACAAATTTTAGATGGCCTAACTAACACTTGTTTATGGCAAGTGAACAGATCATTAAAAGACAGATAACCTGAAAGAGGGAGTAAAACTACTTGCAAGCAAGGCAAATAAAAATTCTTAATGAAAATTGTTAGATCTTCTTCCATCTGTATTTTTTTTTTTTTT